TTATAACATCTCACTCTGTTATATTTCAAGTGATGTTAAATGATTATTGAGTTATATTCAATATTCAAAGTGAGTAGAATTTATAACATCTCATTCTCAATTATATTTACACTAATGATAAATGATAGGTGAGTTATTTTCAATATTCAAAGAGAGTAGAATTTATAACATCTCATTCTCAATTATATTTACACTAATGATAAATGATAGGTGAGTTATATTCAATAATCAAAGAGAGTAGAATTTATAACATCTCATTCTCAATTATATTTACACTAATGTTAAATGATAGGTGAGTTATTTTCAATATTCAAAGAGAGTAGAATTTATAACATCTCATTCTCAATTATATTTACACTAATGATAAATGATAGGTGAGTTATATTCAATAATCAAAGAGAGTAGAATTTATAACATATCACAATCAATTATACTTACACTAATGATAAATGATAGGTGAGTTATATTCAATAATCAAAGTGAGTAGAATTTATAACATATCACAATCAATTATATTTCAAGTGATGTTAAGTGATTACTGAGTTATATTCAATAATCAAAGTGAGTAAAATTTATAACATCTCATTCTCAATTACATTTACACTAATGTTAAATGATAGGTGAGTTATATTCAATAATCAAAGTGAGTAGAATTTATTACATTTCACTATGAATTATATTTCAACTGATGTTAAGTGATTACTGAGTTATGTTCAATAATCAAAGTGAGTAGAATTTATAACATATCACTCTCAATTATATTTCAACTAACTTTAAATGATTGGTGAGTTATATTCAATAATCAAAGTGAGTAGAATTTATAACATATCACAATCAATTATATTTCAAGTGATGTTAAGTGATTACTGAGTTATATTCAATAATCAAAGTGAGTAGAATTTATAACATATCACTCTCAATTATATTTACACTAATGTTAAATGATTGGTGAGTTATATTCAATAATCAAAGTGAGTAGAATTTATTACATTTCACTATCAATTATATTTCAACTGATGATAAGTGATTACTGAGTTATATTCAATAATCAAAGTGAGTAGAATTTATAACATTTCACTCTCAATTATATTTCAACTAACTTTAAATGATTGGTGAGTTATATTCAATAATCAAAGTGAGTAGAATTTATAACATTTCACTCTCAATTATATTTCAACTAACTTTAAATGATTGGTGAGTTATATTCAATAATCAAAGAGAGTAGAATTTATTACATCTCACTCTCAGTTATATTTCAACTGATGTTAAGTGATTACTGAGTTATATTCAATAATCAAAGTGAGTAGAATTTATAACAAATAGTGTTAAATGATTGGTGAGTTATATTTCAATTAATGTTAAATGATTGGTGAGTTATATTTGATTATCAATAAAAGTGAGTGAAATGCTATTCAACTGGTGTGAAATAATAACTGAGTTATATTCTATTCTCGTCCTGCAGAAATTTTTGAATGATTATAACCATATTGTTGCTTCCACTCATTACACATCTTCACGATATCAAGCTATTACGACCTTTGACTTACTGTGACTACAATATTTCTCAAATGATTGAAATTTGTAAATGCAGTTATTTTACGCTAGCAAATACAGCGAATCAAAAGCCTCAACACTAAGCCTGTTGAGGGCACTGATTGGCTGTTTTGGCTGGCACACAATCAAATCAAATCAATGTATTTCGTGATACAGGAAAGGGGTCTACTTGAGTCACAGTATAAGCCAAAGGTTGTCATAGCTTGACATTGTGAAGATGCTCATCACAGAAATGACACTTGACAAAAGTGAAGGCATACTGTCTGGATAAATACATTATTACTATAAATTTACATAATTTTATGCTTGTTTTTAGGTATGAATCAATGCTAAGTTCCTGCCACTAAGGCTTCCAACATACATTTTTAAGCCTCAGATGTTTGACATAACCTTATATGTAATATCTATTTCAAACAAACATATAATTTTTACCAAGGGCTGTAACCTAGAGGGACTCTAAGTGAAAAAGCATATTCAAATCGTTAAGAAATCAGCAATTTGAATTCTCTCTTAATGACCAAGGGGATCCTCAGAGTCGAC